AATTGTCAAGATGAGAATTTAGCGGAATCATTAAAAATAATCCCAGTAAAGATTTGTACAAATGTGAAAGTTTGTGCATGAGGGAGTGTGCGAGCATGTATGTATGTTAACTCTTCACTCTTTAACGGCTGGACGTATTTTAATGAAATTTAACACACCGCTAGGCTATAATCTGGATTAGCACATAGGATATTTTCCAACTTTTTTAATAGGTGAAATTAATCATATATTAAGTTAAATGAAATATTGAGATAAAAACTATTTATTTCGAAAAAAATTTTGAGGAAGGTTGCCACCTGTTCAAAAAATTAAAATCTTTTTAAACAAGCTAAAACAAATATTTTGATACGAGTATCAAACGAGAGTTTTAAACCAGCTTTATTTCCAGAATATATTTTTGGAGAGGGGTGCCACCTTTTTAGAAATTCAAAATCAATTTAATTGACTAGTTAAATGAAACATTTTAATATGGGTTTGACACCCATAGAGAGTCGGTTTATAACGGCTAAAATATTTTTGAAGAGCCCTGTCACCAGGTTTAAAGTTTAATAAAAAAAAAACATTACAATAGGCGGGTCAGACGAAAGAAAAACGGAAAGGCTTTCCTCTAAAATATTTTTGATGAGGGTTGCCTTCTGTTCTAACAGTCAAATTAAAATAAGTTAATCGAAATAAAAAAAAATACTTACTTACATTATCCTCCCTTCATTTGTTTTCTTCCAGGCTCACCGTGGCACGTTGAAATCATGTCTACACCCGGTCTAACAGCACTGGGCGAATCGACACGCCTTGTACCCGCCAATACGCCGGCGGTTTTTGAGATACTGCCGCCTCCTGGACAAAGCCTAAGCAAGGGCGAGTGCGTGGCTACAGTTTTGACGCCAACTAAGTCCAAACTGAATGCCAGAGTCACCCACGAGGCGGCAAATGGTGCTGCTCGCATCGAATTCGTGCCCACCGAAGTGGGTACACACATCATTGAGGCATCGATTAATGGCACAAAAATTGCCGGTGGTCCACTAATAGCCAAGGTCTACGATGCCAGTTTAATACAAGTGACCGATGTGAATGGCGGTGTTGTCGGGCAACCGTGTCAATTCCGTGTCGATGCAAGCGCTGCTGGCGAAGGTCAGCTAGAGATATCGATTAATGAAGGCGAAGTACCAAATCACGTCCAGGTAGTAGGCGGTGGACGTTGTTTGGTCTCCTTCACACCCGAACAGGCCAAGTCACATTTGATCGATATAAAATTTAATGGTGAAACTGTACGCGGCTGTCCATTCGTATGCGCAGTCGCAGATACTTCGCGCGTCATGTTGAATCTTTCAAATCTTGAATTGATAACCGTAAATCGGCCGGCGTCGTTTCATATCACCGTAAGTGGTGGTGGTGCTGCTGAGCTGGCCGTTAGCGTACGCGGTCCGCAAGGCGAGCTGCCCGTACGCGTCACTGGCGATATACATGCCGGCTTCACAGCCGAATTCACGCCCACTACAGTTGGTGGTCATTCGATAAATGTTGAGTATAATGGCTTCCCTGTACAAGGTACGCCTTTCTTGGCGAAATCCTACGATGC